AGAGATCCAATTTTTTTATAAAAAACAAAAAAATTTTTAAATTTAAAAAAAAAAAAAAAAAAAAAAAAAAAACATCTGTAGTTAATACAGTATTGATGCAATTTCAAAGTATTGATGCAAAAGTTGAGTGCGATTTTTATTTGACTTGTGCTATATGTTTATATTACTTATGCTTGCTGTAACTGAAGCAGCACATTCACAGAGCAGTATTTGTGTGCCGGTCCTGTAAAAGTTAATTTACAAGGCAGGAGTAAGCACAGGCTTTTATAGTCCATTCCACTTCTGTTTTCTGCCACAGTGCTAAGTGAGTTTGGCTTTGGCAGGACGTTCTGTCTTCTCTTTAGTTGTGCCACAATGAAGCACAACTGACTAATTGTGAGTCTGTAGGCCTTTCTAACCAGTGTAAATCATTGTTTTGTATACAAATGTAACAATAATAATCAAATAATTAAAGGTTTGTAACTATCTGCATCTGAGTGCCGTGAGTCATGATCCAACACAGATCTGAAGGATTTAATGTACACTAACATTTCATACATACTGAACAGAAGTTCATTACGGATAAAACTACAAACCGCAAAGGCTTTCTTAGTGCTTTTGCTCTAATCTGATTATCTAAAGTCATATTTATTTGTGTAGTACTTTTTACAGAAAATCAGGATATATATAAATTTGCACATATATATATATATATACTGAACTTTATTTATATACAGTGCTGTAAAAAAGTTTTTTGCATATTTCTCACACTTAAAAGATTCAGATCATCAAACAAATTTAAATATTACACAAAGATAATGCAAGTAAATACAAAATGCAGTTTTTAAATTGATTTAATTTATTAAGGGAAAAAGCTGTCCAAACCTGCCTGGCCCTACGTGAAATATTAATTGCCCCCTCCTGTTAAATCATGAAAGAACTGTGATTAATCGCATTATTTTAGAAAGCGGAGTTAAATTCCACTAGCCACACACACAGACCTGATTACCGCCAGACCTGTTGAATCAAAAAATCACTTAAATAGAAACTGTCTGACAAAGTGAAGCGTGCTTAAAGAGCAACACATCATGCCACAATCTAAAGAAATTCAGGAACAGATGAAGTGAAGTGACGTGACATGTGGCCAAGTATGGTGACCCATACTCGGAATTAGTGCTCTGCATTTATCCCATCCAAAGTGCACACACACAGCAGTGAACACACACCCGGAGCACAAACACTTGATTGCAGTTGTTGCGGCAAAGCGTGGCACAACCAGTTATTAGATTATTTATTTATTTGTTTGTTTGTTTTTGGCCAGGCAGTGTATATTGCTTAAAAAGATTTCTAGTTTGACAAGAAATTAGTTTTCTAGTCTCTAAAAAAGCTGCTGTTGGAGAGGGTTGTCATGTTATCCACAGCAGTGTTACATGCAATCTAACAATATACAATTTAAACTGCCCAAAAACTCCAAAACTTTGACATTTTGAATTTGACAAATAATATGTTTTCTTGTTCCTAATAATAAATATTATGCAGAAGAAACTTTTAATATATATATTTTTTTATTTATTATAAAAATGGTCTTGTAACACTAGCAATCTCTGTTCTTTTTCTATTCTTTGACTTTTTTATTTAAAAAAAGACCCTCTTAATACTTTTGTTACCTATTCTTTTTTTCTATTCTATCTACTTGTTTTCTTTTTAATTAATTAATTATATATATATATATATATATATATATATATATATATATATATATATATTATTTAAGTAAAAAACTCCAAAACTTTGACATTTTGAATTTGACAAATAATATGTTTTCTTGTTCCTAATAATAAATATTATGCAGAAGAAACTTTTAATATATATATTTTTTTATTTATTATAAAAATGGTCTTGTAACACTAGCAATCTCTGTTCTTTTTCTATTCTTTGACTTTTTTATTTAAAAAAAGACCCTCTTAATACTTTTGTTACCTATTCTTTTTTTCTATTCTATCTACTTGTTTTCTTTTTAATTAATTAATTATATATATATATATATATATATATATATATATATATATATATATACAGTATATAAGCCTTGTGTACTGCATTAGGCTAACTGAGACGTGTCTCAGCACTTGCATATCATTGCTCATTTGTTGCTTCTATTGTCCTCATTTGTAAATTGCTTTGGATAAAAGCGTCTGCTAAATGACTAAATGTTAATGTAATATGGACTTCTTCAGTTCTAAACTGCTCATTGCATCATATAATCACTACCACTAGCTTGCGCTATTCTTTTTCTATTCTATCGGTTTTCTTTTTATTTATTATATGGTTTAAAAAAAACTTGCTACGTGTACTGCGTTAAGCTAACTGAGACTTGTCACAGCACTTGCATATTATTGCTCTTTTGTTGATTTTGATTGCTTCCATTGTCCTCATTTGTAAGTTGCTTTGGATAAAAGCGTCTGCTAAATGTCAAAATGTAAATGTAGATATAATCAACAAGAACCATCAATGTATGAATCAAATTCACTTAGACTGCTGACAGTTTCTGTAATGTACATTGTTTTATTATATCCATGTATGCTTTTACAGACAAATGACGCAGAACTTCTCTGTCCTGTCGTGTCTGCACTCGAGACGGGTGACGTTTGAGCTCCACTCACATAGTCCTCACTCCTATTGCTTGTTGCTCCCCGACAACTGTGGCTGGTTATTTCAATAAAGTCAACATTTCTGAAAGGTCTCTGAAGTGGCTGGACATGCCTACATCCTGTCAACATTTGCAAAGATAAGACGCTTAATAAATTTGTTGGTTAGCTTCAGTCATGCAAATGAGCTATGCAAAACTGTAGAACTTGCAGCATATAGTAATACATATAACTACTGCTTTATTGTACTTGTAATCTTGCTTGGTGAAGTGGATGTGTGCATTCCAGTTTGAAGTACTATGGGTTGTCACAAGGGATAGAGAGTCAGAAAGGCCTCTAAGAGACCAAACAGGCTATTTCACTCTGCCCAACCATCTTCTGCTTAGGCATTATAGTCTAGAAGTGCCTGTAAAAATGTAAAAAGAATAGTTCCTGACTAGTTACTAGCACTTGGCGCTAAAAGCAATGTCAGGCATTTTGAAGAAGATCTGTAAGCTTGCTGAATTGGGCCACAGTTCATGCAAAAGCTTATGTGCAGTTGCATGGCCTTTTACCATTATACATGTTCTTTTAGTTCTGTGTCTAATCTTTGTGATTGTAGTAATTTGCGTCATGTGAAATTGTACACAAGGAGGGTGCAGATGAATGTACAGTATGTGAAGTGCGTTTTAAAGTTTTGACATCAATTATGTATAATTCAGCATTTTTGGGAACTCACCAGGCAGAGCCACTTGTAGTTCACAAAAGGTAATCTTGGATCAGAAGAGCTTGGCCACATCCACATACACGTGTTCCAGCTGAATATAGAGGAGTCGGGCTAGTTGTTAAGCAGGGAAGCTGTCTCAAGGTGTTGTATATCAGTAACTAAGGTTTTGAGTCAAGTGTCCAATTACACAAATAGCTGTTTTCTCTTTCACATTCATAATTTTTCTAAAATTCAATATCATTGTAATTTTTGTAATGTCTGTTAAAAAGTAAACAGACATTTTGACAAGAGTTGCCATAAAAAGAAAGAGTTGGAGTGAAAGGTGCTACCACATATTGACATTTAAACTTTTCTCAAATCAAGAGTATTTTCCAGAAATGTCAGATCACTGTCAGGTGTTTGCGTTATAAGCAGTGTTGTAACTAGTTACATGTAACAGAATTACGCAATTTAAATACAAAATCAATGTAATTGTAATTACAGTTACTGAGAAAAAATGTGTAATTAAATTAGTTACTTATGAAAATGTTAATGATTACAAAGGTTATTACATCTGAATTTTTCACACACACACATACCGATTTAATTGACTTCTTTCATAAATTGCATTGCTCTAAAATATGAGACACCAAAGCTTCAGGAGTATAGGACACATGCTTATTCAATAACTGTTTTATTTCATATTTGTTTTTGTTTTTTTATGTACAGGTACATCTCAATAAATTAGAATGTCGTGGAAAAGTTCATTTATTTCAGTAATTTAACTCAAATTGTGAAACTCGTGTATTAAATAAATTCAATGCACACAGACTGAAGTAGTTTAAGTCTTTGGTTCTTTTAATTGTGATGATTACTTTTTCCAAGGCATTGTTAGATGCCAGTGTTTCTTCTGGTCATAACTATGCAACGATTTGATTTCAAAAACAGTATTGTAGCTATAAAACTATCTCTTATGATTTTAAATCTGTATTTATCCTCAGAACGATCTCAATATAAAAAGAGGTGATGAGTTTGATTTTGTGTTGGCTGTGGCTTATTGAAATGTTTATCATCTTAATTAAAGAGAAGAAGGATTGTGAAAGTCTGACAGTAAGTTTAGTAGTATGGTTATCCCTGCCTGCTTTAAATATTAGAAAATGATAAACAGTTGAAAACATCAGAAATTTAGAAAAGTAGGCTAATCAAATGTAATCAGTTATTACTAAAGTAATTGAAATTGTTATATATAATACTATAACATTTTAAACAGGGTAACTTGTAATCTGTAACTTATTACATTTCCAAAGTAACCTTCCCAACACTGGATATAGCCTACATTTTTACATTAATTTTGCTTTTGGTTTCTGTTGGCCAAACAATAGTTTTAAGAATTTTTAA